CCTCGCGTGTCGCCACCGACGCCTCGGAACGATCTCAGACCACACCAGCATCACCCCGGGAAGCAGATCGAACAACCTGTTCAGGTCCTGCTTCATCCATTTAACCAACCGCCGTTGCGGGATGAGGCCCAGGTCATTGCCCCCGGCGTGCAGAACTAGCATATCTGGCCTCGCCCCACCTGCTACCATCCGAATTATTGCCCCGCACACGTCGCCCCAGCCAAACCCCTTAAAGCCCAACCATCGCACTGTTAGGAGGTCTTTCGGGAAGCCCAGCTGTTGGCCCTGGGCTCGAGCTGCAGCTCTCCGTCCGGCCCAAACGATGAAGGAATGGCCCACAATCCATGCGACACAACCTGGGGAAGAAGGGAAACAACGTAAACACCCATACCCATACCGGGGCCCACCCCCCGACCGATACAGCCCGCATCACTGATCCAACAAACCCATGCGCACATACGTGCGGAACCGAGCGGATTCCCATCTCCCAATCCTTTTGACTAACTCGTCCCCCATGCCCAGACGCGCGGCCTCAGTGGCCGCCCCTATGCGAAAGGAATGCGTCCCGTAGGCAGCAGCACTCAACCCCAACGCCCCCAGACCCAATCGGAACACCTTAGTAAATTGGAAACGGGAGAGCGAGGAGCCATCGGCATGAACCAATAAAGACCCCCCGACTGCCGGTCTCAGTTCCAAGAACCGAGCTACAGCCGCAACCGGGCACAGTGATGACCCAGGCAGGGGACCCAGCGTCACATCCCGGCCTTTTCCCATGACGTCCGTTTTGGATGTAGCCAGGTATACCACCAGGTTCCCAGCGATCATGCGAACACCGGATAACTGCAGACCCCCCGACCCCGACCGCGTGGCGCTCACCAATTCCCCTATCCGGAATGCACCAAAGAAGGCCAAGAGAAAGGCTGTCCTGAACAGGGCTACCTCAAACCCGTCAAAGCAGATTCCGGGAAGCATGTGGAGTAAATTCCCAAGCACCCGAACCGAGACCGGACGCCTGGCATCCGGTACCCTCCGGCCCCTCCGATACCCCTTGAGAGCCTGCCTAATGACGAACGCTTTCGTGAGGTCCTCCCACCCGTGGAATTTGAACCAAAAGGCCATCGCCGCCATGGTCCTATCAACCATTGCTGGGGACACACCTTTTGCCAGCAATTGGAAAGTGAACCACAGGAAGGCGTCCTGCGACGATTCCACCTGTGGCCCCTGGCCCAGCCCCTCCCAGGAACGTTCCCAGGCACCCCAAACCTTACTGTATGCGGTCCATGTGGCAGGTGCCAGCGAAGCCCTCACAAGTCCCCCAAGCATGATGCTCCGAGCTGCCACATCTCGTCCGGGCACGCCTGCCCGGTCTCCTGAGCCTCCGGAGCCGCCAACCGAAACCGGGACCACTGAAAACGAGACAGAGCATCAGCCACCTCGTTCAAATACCCGGGCACGTGACGCGCGCGAAAAACTACATTAAGGGACATGCAAAGCAAAACAAAACGTCGCAATAGCGTCACCACCGGTTTGGATGCTGCCGACTGGTTATTGACGGCATGCACCACCGACATATTGTCAGAGAAGAAGACTACTTTGCGGTCCCGGAGACAATCCCCCCACAGGGCCAATGCCACTACCAACGGGAACAGCTCCAGAAAAGCCAAGTTCCGTATGAGGGGGCTTCGTCCCCACGCCTCCGGCCACTTCTGAGCACACCATCTCCCCCTGAAGTAGGCCCCGAAACCCACGCTACCCGATGCGTCGGTGAACAGCTCCAATTCGGCCGTAGACACACCCTCCTGACGGAAGAACACCGTCCCATTAAAGTCTTGCAAAAATACCTTCCAGACGTCCAGGTCAGCCCTCATTGAGGAAGAGACCCGAACGAAATGGTGTGGAGAACCGACCCCCGCCGTGGCTGCCGACAGGCTGCGGCTAAACACCCTACCCATGGGTATCACCCTGCAGGCAAAGTTGAGCATCCCGATCAACGATTGTAGCTGCCGCAGGGTCACCTTACGCGCCCGCTGCACCGCGGCCACCGCACTGCGCAGTCCGCACAACTTAGTCAGAGGCAGCCGACATTCCCCACGCACCGAATCTATTTCTAAACCCAGGAAGCTGAGACACACGGTCGGGCCCTCAGTCTTGTCCGCCGCCAACGGCACCCCAAAGTGGCCTGCCACCCACTCCACTGTCCGCAACAGGTGCCGGCAGGCGGGAGAACCCGCCGGCCCTACGCAGAGAAAGTCATCTAAATAATGCACCACCGCGTCGTTCCCCGACTCCAACCGCACCACCCATTCGAGAAAGGTACTGAACTTCTCAAAATAGGAGCACGAAATGGAGCAGCCCATCGGGAGACATAAGTCGACGAAGAAGCCCCCCTCGAAGAAGCACCCCAGCAGGTGGTGACAAGCCGGATGAACCGGAAGCAGCCGAAAAGCAGCTTCAATATCCACCTTGGCCAGTAAAGCCCCACGCCCGGCCCTCTTAACCAGCTCGACCGCCTGGTCGAATGATGCATAAGAGACCGAGCACAATTCCCCATCGATATCGTCATTCACCGACGCTCCCCTAGGATAGGACAGGTGATGAATGAGCCGAAACTTCCCGATCTCTTTCTTGGGAACAACCCCTAATGGTGACACCCTAAGGCCCTCAATCGGCGGCGCTGAGAATGGACCTGCCATCCTGCCCAACCGCACCTCCTTACTAAGCTTCTCCCGGACCACATCCGGAAATTCCCTTACCGATTTCAGATTACGCGTACACAACGAACCCTCCCTCGCTCGGAAGGGGATGAAAAACCCCTGTCCAAACCCCGACCTAAGCAGTTCCGCGTCCCCTGCCTTACCGTAGCGGCTTAGCCAGGGTTCCATCGCGTCGAGCCTCACCGGGGTTCGGCCCCGGGGCAGCAGCTGTCCCACTGCCCCCGGGCGCTGGAGGAGCTCCGGCTCCGCCCGACTTACCTTTCTTATAGCATCTCTGGAGCCCATGAGTCCCACCGCAGCCCGCGCATTCATGCTTGAAGCGGCAGGCCGCCCCCCACTTGCACTGACCTTCGTTGAACGACCAGCATAAGCCCTTCTGCAAGGCGGCCGACGAGGCGGACTGTCCCTTTGCGCCAGCCGCGTGCTGAAAGGGCTGTGCCTTCTGCGCCATCATCAGCTTCATCCACAGGGGCAGGTCCATTTGGTCCCACCTCATCCCAGGATTGGCCGCCAAGCGTTGCCGGAACTGCTCGTCGTACCGCCACCAGGCCAGCCCGCCATAGGTGCGATACGCTTCCCAGATCCCATCTAAGTAACAGAATAGGGAAGAGCAAGAACTTGGCGATTTCTCCCCTATCACACTGGCTAGGACGCAGAAGGCCCTCAGCCAGTTCCCAAAGGACTTCGGTATCTTTCGATACCGCTTCCGTTTTTCCTCCTCCTCCTTCTTTTCGTCCTTCTTATCCTCCTCCTTGAGGTCAATGAAGTCCTCCAGAGGAAGAAGGGAGAATATCTCACAGAACTCCCCCTTCCAAATTTTTTCTTTCGCCTCCTGCTTGAGGTGCACCCCCAGCGGGCCCGCAAATGACACGTAAGCATGCTGCCTGGCCGCGTCCGACACTCCTCCCGACAATTCCGCCCGTTCGCACCCCACCTCCCCCGGGCTGGACTCTACACCCGCCTCCCCGCTGGGCGCGGCTACCACGGGAGTCCCGCTAGCACGCCCCACCTCGCCGGACCCTCGCGTCCAAACCTGACCTACATCGCCCGAAGTGCCACCCCCCGCCCCCAATGAGTGGAGCAGTGACTGAAGTGTTTGAACTAGTGTATTGGACCCAAGGGGGCCTCTGGACTCACCGGCCAAGCCCCTCGATCCGTCCGTACCCGGGGCTGCATTGTCAACCGCTGCGTGACCTGGATGCGCAACATCCGCCGACGTCCCGCCAACCAGGGAGCCCACCTGGTGCCTCGATAACGTGGAAGACGAACGGCTCGGAGACCTGAAATGAGGAGAAGACATCCTGGGCAGGGGGTAGTGCTCTCCGGCTCCCCTCCCGTCCCGACCCAGGGAGCGCCTGCCTGCTACCAAGGCCTCCCGCCGTGCACCACTCTCCCGCTGCCCCCCGTGAGCCCGTTCCCCCCCGCCCCGGGGACTCCGACTCCTACCCTCAGCCCTCGCCGCCCTCTCCTGCCGCCCCCGCCCTAATGACCCTGACCTGGCCTCTACCGAACTTCCCGAGGGAGAACGCCTGCACCGGGCCCCCCTTTTTTCCCGCGCCCTGAGGGACCTCACGTCCCTCACAGGTGAAGAACCAACGCTGCTAGAGTCCGACCCGGAGCTGTCACCAGACCCCCCACCTTCCGACCCACTAGACACGGCCTCTGGACCCGCATAGCCCCCCCCAGCCCCAGCGCCTCCCCGCCTCTGGAAGTGGCCCCCTGACACCCCCCGCCCCCTACGCTTCACCGCCCTCTTACCAACCCCCCCCTTTCCAACTACCGCCCCTACCTCCCTCACCCGACCCGCTGACCCCCCAGGCACCCCCAGGGACCCCCCCTGTGCCCCCAGCAGCCCTACCACAGAGCCCCCCCCACTCCCTCCCTCACTAGGGCCCTGAGAGCTCCCCTGGGTCCCCCCAGAAGGTCCCCCCCCAGCCACCTGAGCTCCACTCCCCCCCCCTCTCGCCCCAGGCACACTACCCCCAGGCTGCACCCCCAGGTTGGGCCCCACGCCAAGGGAACCCCCAAGGGGGCCCCCTGCACTTGCCTGCTCCGTTCTGGGCCTGGTCCGCGCCTTCCTGGCCCGCTCTCCACCGTCCGCCGCTCCCACCTCCTGTACAACTCGCCCGGCCCGCCTGCTCGATTCCCGGCAGGGCCGCCGCATCACCGGTGCGTCCGCCGGGCCCGGCGCCGCCCCAACCCGTCCAGGGGGCGCGCCGTCTGATGCCAGGGCCGCAGCCCGTCGGGAGCCGGCCTGCCGAGGCCCTGGCCGGCCGCCGGGAGGCGATGCCTCGACCGCGCGGCCTCCAGGCCTGCCGCGGCCTTCCTCCCCAGCCGCCGGATCGCCAAGGGAAGGAGTCACGGGCCCCGCGCCCGGGCTCAAGCGCCGTGGTGGCCTCCTGGCCCGCGCCGGGCGACCGCCGCCGCCATCTGCCGCTGCTAACAGGGGGCCCAGATGCATCTTCGCCCAGCCTGGGCCCTGTTGCCGCGCCGCCGTCCGGATCCCATCCAGGAGCCGCTCCACCTCTTCCATGGCCCTGCAGAGGAGACAAAAGAAAAGCCTACCTAGCAGGTCAGTGAACCAAGAGGCCACACAAACACAGCTAGGTAGAAATTAATGTGCACATTTTTTAAAATGGCTGCCTAATAAATAGCCAGCCCCCATCCCATAATCCCACAGTCCTGCTTGGTCCCTCCTATGCCCGCCTCCTAACCCCTGTCAAGGCCCTTTTCCGCTAAGCTGCGCTCTGGCTACATGGGGCTACATTCCGCAAATTCCTTTACATACACTTCACATAAAAACGCAATTGCCTGTCACCAGGGATACATTAGAAAGTTGCCATGGTAGGTTGCTTGGTCATACCTAGTACAGAGATAGTACTAATAATTTAAAATAACAAGGCAGTTTAACTTTTATATATGAATTATTATTTAAACAGCCAGTCCGCTTTAGATTTCATGAGTTTTGTGATTTTATTGTGATTTTGTTTAACATTTATACATACATAATACATACCTTATAATTCATCCTCTCTACCAGAAACCTACTTCTGACATATGTTCTCAGTCAAACGTCTGCCTCTCGTCTACAAAACTCCTCAAGGGATAATCCTTTTTATGGAGAACATTTATCACCCTATTAGTTATCCTCCAGTCCTTTAAAATAAATCCTTAAAAACACACTAGATACTAAAGAAGCACACCATTGTCAACTACCCTTTTAATAGCTCCCCTTAGTCGAGGCCTCCCGTATTACCACTCTAATGTGTGTATTAACTCCATTCCGCTCTCTTCTCTTCAACTAATGTATATCATATCATTTATATTTTCTATATCACTCCTAGCAATCAATCTTCCCTCTGGATTCTTTGCACTTTACCGTTACTGTAATTATAGCCCGTTTACTTTAGACTGTAAGCCAAATGTTTGTAACCTCTTGTTCTAGTATGCCAAACTTGTTTAGACATGAATTACTGTACCTATTGTGCATTTCCGTGGAAATATTTTGGTGCGTTATAAATAATAATTATGTAAATAAAGGAGATATTGTTTTACTAAGATTTAAAGTAAGAGTTTTTTGTTTTACATGGAAAGTATATTTAACCCCTTAAGGACACATGACGGAAATATTCTGTCATGATTCCCTTTTTTTTCAGAAGTTGTGTGGGGTTAATACCTTTCAGATTAGCTCTAGCCATTAATCTTACAACGTCTTATTAGCAGATTATAAAATAATTTACATGATCCTATACTCTGCCTACATACTGGCAGATTTATGGACATACTAACCCCAACCTAGGAATAATTGCTAAACTTGAAAAACTACAAATTCTAAACTGTATAAGTGCTCTATAAAATAATTGCTAAAGAAATAAAATATATAGAGTTTCTTTTTTTCACAACATGGTACTTATTGATTATGTTTCATTTGTGAATTTATATATATCTCATTTGGTTGTCCTAGTTGTGGTTGTGGTGAAGCCTACCCGATATGGCAATCTAGATTCTGTTGATTGAGTTGAGTTCCATTGTTCTGATAAATCCACGATTCTGATAATATTATGTTAGAGCATTTAATTTGGGTTGATAGGAAGATTAAGCTCTCATGGCTTAGTATTAACAGACACATTGCTATACTTTCAGTCAAAAATAGATTAGCAGGGCAGTTCACCAAATACCCATATTTCATCACTTGCCAGATAACAGCAAATTATATGTTAATTGGCCATATATGATTTAAAAAAAAAAAAAAAAAACAACCTATTTCGGCTATTTTTCTAGCAGGGATATTTTAGGCCTAATTTGGCAGTTCCGAAGAATAAAGTTGCCACCGGACAATTTACCCTGGAAATGTCTGTCCTGAACTGGTAGTCATTATCGGAAACCCTTAGTTTGTTGATTTCAGACAAAAAATAAGTGTTTATTTTATTAAAAATAATGGATTTGTAGATTGTGTGAGGAGTTATGAATACAATATTTGTTGTTTGGGAATACCTAAAATATGAAAATAATACATAGTTACAGAAAATGTATTTTTAAATGTATTTCCTAATTATTTAAAAAAAAATATTTGTAGAGGATATGAGTAACAAAAGACCAAGCTATATCCTTTGTTTTCTAATCATTCCTATATGTCCAGATAACTTTGTGTTGTGGAGCAAACCATTTTTAAATAATGAATTGGGTGAGTTACTGAAACTATAAATAAAAATGGTAAAATGCAATGTTGACTGTTATCTGTAAGGAATCAATTGACTAGTAATGGAAAAGTCTGTATCTTTGCATAATTCCATACACAATAAAACAAATTACTATACTAAATTCAGCTTTGCCCCTAGCCTTTTATGGAGACCTTTACACCGTGAGCCACACATGCTCCCATATTGTACACAGGGGAGGAAGAGGCAAATCAACTTCCTAGAACCCCAAGTTATGTTGCAGAGGGAAGTCGGTTAATATTGGACGACGCCAACGTGGAAAAGGTTCGTATTAAAACAGGACCATTCCAATTATTATTTGTAACAAATAATTAAATTCAAATAAACTGACAGAATATAAACAGTTAAACAAAAGATATATATATGTAAATGTCTGGTTGGTTTATAGTTGACCATCCCTTCATATAGTATCACACATGGTTCGAATTTATGTTGGCATCTATATGTGCCTTACCTTGTCATTGGCTGTATTTAATATTTTGTGACATTGCTCAGTCCAGCAGCTTTCTCTTGGGACCTATTCATGGAATTCAGGGCAATTGTGACATTGTGCTGCAAGGGTTCAAGGATGAAATGCTCCCACCCCCAAATAAAAACAGAAAGAAAAAAAAAACATGCCGACCCAAACACACACACACCCTAACTGATTTGGCACACACTCACTGACAGACAGTCACTCTCACTGACACACACTTTCACTGACAGACACACACATGTACCCATTCTCTGTTTACACTGTGCCGTCCTCACGCATATAACACTAAGATATACTGACATGTACACATTCTCTGTACATTGCACACAGAGACCTACATGTACAGTAATATGTGTTGGTGGCAATGTGGAGGGGCAGGGTGTGTGTGTTGGTGACAGTGTGGGGGGCAGGTTTTGTGTGTAGGTGAAAGTGTTGGGGGCTGGTTGTGTGTTGGTGCCCGGGGAGGGGGGGGGGCAGGAGGGGGGGAAACTGTGACATACCATTATTTTTAATGTAGTCAATTCCCTGGTGGTCTGGTGGGCAGCTCTCCTTGGTGGTCTGGTGGTCAGCTCTCTCACCTGCAGCTCAGCCGAGGTCTCATGAGCACCCAGAGTGTTACCATGGTAATCCGCAGCAATGCTCTGGGAGCTTGCGAGACCTCTATCATAATGTCTGCAGTCCTCCATCCTGCAGAGGCACTGGGCTCTTTCCTTGGCAGATTGCTTGGAGGGACCCCCCACCCGGCGGCATATAGGGGAGGACCCGACAGCTCAGTCTGCCCTAAGCCTGTTATATGATGACAGAGTGCCACCTGGAGCCATTGTCCCACCAGGACCTATAGACGGACCGGCCCTGATGGAATCTCTCGTTATGACTAGTTCACTCAAGTTCTTTGTTGAATTATGAAATGGATTTCATTTTGTATTTACAGAAATTAACATATACCTAAATCCCCGTTGCAAATAAATTTGTCACTTTGTGAGTTTGTTTTTTGTTGAGTTCAATGCCTCAGTGCTGTGGGGGGCAATGCTCAGCTGTTTTCTTTCTCTACATTGATCAGTGACACTTTAATATTGGTGTAAAAACAGCATGTTGACCTTTCGTCTTAATGATCTGGCTCTTCCGCCTTGAGTGCTGGAAACTGCAGGTTAGTAGGCAAACATTTTAAAAGTTCAGATGAGTTCCTTTCAAGTGTGCTGGCATTGTGCCATTAATCTAGTTGTCAGCTGTAGTCACCTATAATAACAGGGGTTGTAGGAAGCGGAATTTCATTATTGTTACTTATTCATTTTCTCCAATGTTGTGTAATTGTGTACATTTCTGCTTCCAACATGATTGATATCATTGCAAACTTTCTAGCAGCATGCAATCCTTGAAGTGAAAGGAGAAATATTTTAACCCTTTTGGTCAATTACCAAATGGTTGATGTTGTATTTTGCAAGTTAACTAAAGGAACACTGTATGTTTAAAATTAATATATTAGTTTTAGATCTAGGAATCCCAGTATTAATGAAAATTTTAATTTTTTCCGGTGGAGAAACATTCTTCTTGTTGCAGCCAACTCCTACCACACTGCCATGATAATAATTGACGATCTCTGGTCCAACTGAAAATGTATCTAGGAGCATTGGCAACCTATGGTGAATGCCAGGGTCTGTCAATCAAAATGCTTCCAATATGGGCAGCTGACCCAGCCAGTTCTGACTGACAGCCAGGAGGGTGCAACTATGGACCTTTAATAAAAATCTCTTGAAACGTGAACATTTATAAAAGTAGGCAAAGGGGACCAATGGTTAGCCCCCAAAGCAAATCAGAAAAATGAAGTGCTTTATGGGACTTGACATTTCCTCTGAAATATTTTAGCAATTAATTTCCTTTTCTCTGAAACATCTGTTAAAAGACCTTCGATTGCCACACATGCACTTTTTGTCAACCAATGAGAGAGAAAAGAGACTGTCAAGGTTCGTGATTCCAGGTAAGTTTTAAGGTAATTGATTGTGCTTTTTAAGTTAAATATATATATATATATATATAGTTATTTTTTTTTGCAAAATAAACTGATAAGTAGTGAAGGTGTTTTTTATAAGCACCATTTGCTTTGTTTCAATATTTTTGGGGAATTGTATTAGTGCATAGTTGGCATTATTAATGGACTATCACACTTTATTTGGTAGAGAAAGTAACATTTGTTGAATCAAATTTCAAAATCATTTTCATTTTCCATGTGAAATATAGCAATTATTTATTTATTTAATTTGATATAAAGAATAATAGCAAATATTTGTTTTTTTTCCCAACACTCTCCATCCTCCATTACAGTTCTCTGAGCTCTGTCACAAAAAACCTCAACATCTGAGGAAAGGGATTTAGGGGTGATTATTTCTGATGACTTAAAGGTAGGCAGACAATGTAATAGAGCAGCAGGAAATGCTAGCAGAATGCTTGGTTGTATAGGGAGAGGTATTAGCAGTAGAAAGAGGGAAGTGCTCATGTCATTGTACAGAACACTGGTGAGACCTCAGTTGGAGTATTGTACACAGTACTGGAGACCGTATCTTCAGAAGGATATTGATACCTTAGAGAGGGTTCAGAGAAGGGCTACTAAACTGGTTCATGGATTGCGGGATAAAACTTACCAGGAAAGGTTAAAGGATCTTAACATGTATAGCTTGGAGGAAAGACGAGACAGGTGGGATATGATAGAAACATTTAAATACATAAAGGGAATCAACACAGTAAAGGAGGAGACTAGGGAATCAACACAGTAAAGGAGGAGACTATATTTAAAAGAAGAAAAACTACCACAACAAGAGGACATAGTCTCAAATTAGAGGGACAAAGGTTTAAAAATAATATCAGGAAGTATTACTTTACTGAGAGGGTAGTGGATGCATGGAATAGCCTTCCAGCTGAAGTGGTAGAGGTTAACACAAGTTTAAGCATGCGTGGGATAGGCATAAGGCTATCCTAACTATAAGATAAGGCCAGGGACTAATGAAAGTATTTAGAAAATTGGGCAGACTAGATGGGCCGAATGGTTCTTATCTGCCGTCACATTCTATGTTTCTATGCTTGTATGGCGGCATGAACATTTCTTTCTTTGTTGGCATTATATAGCACAAAAATATATACACATAAAACTGTAAAATAAATTTATTATATTTGACAGTAAAATTACAGCATCACATTTTTCCTACTAAGTGTTGTTATTGAGACGTTTTCACGGAATACATTGATATGCATTGTGTTACTAAACTTCCATGCACTCCAATTTGAGTTCAAGGTTATTAAGTATATTTTTCTAACATGCAAAGTATATATAGTTAATATTCCCATACAATTAGTTTGTATAGCCAGCAATGTGATCCGTGTGAGTTTACAATCGACAAAGAGTTAGAAGATTCATGTTTAATAGAAAAAGTAACAATATATGATATCTATTAATGGTTGTCGGTATAAAAATACAAGAGAACAAAACATAATACTAAGACATACAGTGTCTTATGTTCTTAAAGAATTCAGGAGCGTTAATACACTGCTGGTATAAGGAGGGGGTACATCCAAGGGTCTTTTAGCCCCTGCTCCAAAAATGTTCACTTTTCTTCAACAGCTTCCACTTATCGTCAGTGTTTTCATGATCCATTTCTCTCCATTCCTTCCACTCCATGGTTCCTACACACGCAGCATTTTCAAGCGGTACTATCAATTCTACATGTTTTATTTTTAAATCATTCATTTTTTTGTCCCTCTAGTTTCCCTTATTTTTATTTTTTTTAAAGTCACCATATATTTTTAGTTATTATGAAGTCATTAATAAGGATTGTTCAAGGGTCCACCCAGAGGTATATTGATTAAGAAAGGCAAAGGTTGTAAATACCGACTACAATTTCATACACTACTGAGGCAAAGTATGCAATTTAGAACATCCAGGTCCTGAAAGCCTGAATTTCTGGGTGATTCCAGAATATTGGAATACTAAGCATCTAGTGCAATAGGAGAAATCTTCTGAATAGGTGATACATTTTAGGCGTCTTGAATAGATAGTCACCCCAACTATGTGTACACTATTGGTTGCATTATACAAAAGGCATATTTAGAAACCATTCAAGGTGCATGAGGAAAAAATATACTCCCCTTATGTACCATTGAGTTGTAAGTGGTTGTAGTGGAGCCCAAATTGGACCGTTCCAAAGGGCACGGCACCAACCCGAAAATCAGCAGAAAAATAGTATTTTGGTAAAGAGCATCAAGTAACTAAAAAAACAATACAGTATTCATGAATGTTAATTGTGGAGGGAATGCAGCAATATTTTGATCGGTTGTGAGAATTGTGTGACAATCTTTTTGCTTGTTCGAACCTGTAAGGTAATAGTTGGGCAACATGAAGCTTTTCTTGGAAGTAAAGCAGTGGTTGTTTGGAATGCTAACATTCTCTGGAGTTCAGGAATGATTGGTGTGAGCTCATTGAGGGAATTAATAAGGTGCCCAAACTATCGTATCCCCTCTCAATTCAAATATTAAAATGTAGCATCAGATTTTCTTGTTCTTTAAAGTACATATAACCCATGAAGGGTAAGAAAAGAGAATGAGATTAAAACGTTTGAAGTTTGTTACCTCTTGTTCCTAAAATTTAGACAATATCAGAGAACTTATGTGTAATAAAATGAACCTTTATTAAGTAATATATAAAAATAATATCACATACAGAAATGTTTATTTGTGTTGCCCAAAACCTACCAGTAAATGTCATATGCACTTTCTATATGTCTTATAATAAACACAATAGGAGGAATACATTGAATAATGTGTCCATTTAGCAATGCCCCATTATGAAGTGTACCATTATCAAAGGTTAGATGACTGACAGTGTAAAGTGGGATGTATGTGAAAATATACAACATAGTTTTACACCAGCAGGCTGAAATAATCTTCTATCAAAGAAGTAATAATATCTTAAAAACTAAAAATGTTTTCACTTTAAGAGATTGTAGATCAGTAAATTCATTGTGCAAAAAGCAATGTACAGTGCAATACTCTGAACCCTCTCCTTACTCCCCTCTCCCCCAAAACAATACTTCTACATAACTATTAGCATTGCATTAAATGTTTTTATCTTTGGAAAGAACAATGGGATGAAGGGGAAGAAGTAAGATGGAGAAAGAACAATGAGAAAGTTACAATACAGAAAAGCAATTAGAATATTGAGGAGAGGCAATGTGATGGAACGCAATAAGAAAAAAAAGAAAGAAAATGATACAGTTATAGAAAAGAGAGTGAAGGGGGACAAGGCAATATGAGGAGAATTTAGTGAGAGACTGTGAACACATAGGAAGTTTTTGAGGGTAAACAGTGCAATTGAATCAGTAAAAGAGAGGGGGAGAAGGCAATGGAATGTTGAAGAAGAATAAGTGGAGGAGACAGTTTGGAGAGTGAAAGGGAACATTTATAAGAAACTATGTAGAAAGAGAGCGAAGAAGAAATATGAGGAGAAAAATAGGATGAGACAGCACATAACAAGAAAGAGGAACACTTTAATTGCCCAGAGAATAATGGGAAACTGATGTAACCATCAGACATAATGGGAAAACAGCACTGGAAGACCAGGAACTCAGCAATCGAGAATAGATGTGGTGTGTGGATTACCATGAGCTTGGAGTGACGAGTTCTAGGACCTGGCAGAAGAACTAGCATGCCAGCTACATTTTTATCTTCACATTAGCTTTCATCTACGTATTGAGCTTATAGACTATGATTGCTGCTAATACTTTGCTGAGAGCCAACACATGAATGGAATAGGGCAACCAGACAAGACTAGTAAAGAGGTAAGTGGAAAGAGTGTAGATGTGTATTCAGACATAGCCGGTGAATTCAGGACACAGGACCTGACTAGGTCTGGAAGCACCAGGAAATCATAAGAGATAGAGCGCTTAAATCTTGAAAAAGATGTCATGCTTCTTTAGTGGGCAGGGGAACATGGGACTGATGGGACTAACGGCACTAAGCCTCCATGGATGTTCCCTAAGCCTACTAACAGAACATCATGACACACAAATAAATTACAAATCCTAGCTACATCACTCAAGGTTGTGACTCAATTGTTTCCACCACAAATACTTTCTCGCATGCATCTTAAGTTATGCCTTAAATTTATACTAATCCAACCAGCATTGACAATATATAAGTATGCTACTATTACACAGTTAATAATTTGACATCGTGATAAGCAAAATTACCTTCAGAGAAAACTTGCCAGAGCCAGGATGGATCCTCATTGATTAATATGCAATAATGGAAACATTTCTATCAGTGCTAAATACAAAATAAACATTGCAGTGTAGAAAATATAGCAAGACAATAAAAATCTGTTGTAAACTAAATTAAACATGACTTAAAGTAATGGGAACTTCATCCTTGCTGAAAACAAGAACCCAGGAACATTCAAAAATAATTGCTATCTCAAAATATATTTCCAGTGTCTCTTTGTAAAGGTTGAGCCATTCCATCCCCATTTATCATGGCAGACATAGAAGTATGAATTGTCCATCTTTCAATATTCTTCAATCATAACTGTCAGGCAAACTGTTTCATGAATATAGAGGAAAAATACCATTTGATATATTTGATTCAACAATAAAATTGGTATTCCCACCAACATCATGCAGATGAGCCATTAATACAGCCCCTTGTAATATTCTGCCAGGTACCAAGATCACTTAATCTCAATAAAGTTGTCTGGTTGCAGTGGTCCTGTCATTTTAACGCTGCAATTAAAAATATTGCCATTTTGTAGAAAAGGCAATGTTTTCATTTTTAAGGTTAATCTCTAGTGTCTGTCTACCTGACTAGAGGTGCTTCCTCTGCAAGACCAAGTTAGATTTGGTACGTGATGTTCAACATCCCTGAAGTCGTCGAATGTTATCAATGCTTCTCTATGAGAAGAATTTGCTTGGATGAGTGCCGTGCACTGCGCATCTGCTTTTCGTCTTTGAGAAGCATTGGATTTGACAAGAAGGCAGTGAAGTAAAGCCTTCCAGATGACATTGCAGGAAGAGTGGGCATTAGTATTGAGTGAGCCTCAGCGCTAGAAAAAAGGTAAGTAAAATGCTTTTATCTCTATTATTTATTGGAGTTGGTGGGGGAAGGTGAATCTACATAGGGACAAGAACACTATAGCATTAGGAATACATGTTTGTATTGCTACAGTGTTCCTTTAGAGTCGTACATGTATCATTGTTAAATATGATAGTTTAAAATTACTTAAAAATAACAGATTTTAAATATTAGGAGGGATCTCTGTTTGACCACAGTGATTATCAAAAAACGGGAGCCTAACTTACCTTTCGAAGTTACCTCTTATCAGTTTCTGGATTATAACAGTCTCTACGAGAAGCATTGGATTGGACGAGGAGGCAATGAAGCAAAGCCCTACCAGATGATTTCATGGGAGCAGGAGCGAGCAACAGCACTGACTGAGCCTAACCGCTGGAGAAAAGGTAATTAAAATGCTTTTTACCTAATTTTTGTTATTTAAGTTGGGGGGAAGGTCCTAAAACTAAATAGGGACTAGAACAGTATAGCGTTAGGAACATGTTTGTATTCCCAATGCTAAGCCATGCATTTATTATAGGTATGTATTATAGTTAAAGTTTATTTAAAAATAAATAGATTTTAAATATTAGAGGTGACCTCCGTTTGACCCTGGCAATTACCAAATAGTGAGTCTAACTTATCTTTGAAAGTACTACTTATCATTCTCTGGATTGTAACAGCCTCAACTGGGCTGTTGAATATTATGACAGGCCTCTCTGCCTTACAATACTGAATGAAATCAAGATTGTTATCTCTTAAACACACACACAGCATATATCATTTTACAACCATTCCAATTTGTTCATAAACAGCAGTGTACTGTAACCCGTGCAAGCATGGCAGGGATGTAATCATGCATGTACACAACAGGATGTACCTGTAGCTTTACAAGCGGCAGTCTGGTACGGATTTACTGTGATTGTGTAGGAATTTATTCTATGTTATTATTCTATATTATTATGTTATTACGAACTATATAAACTAGAAAACTATCATAAACAACAATAATAATCATATTAATAATGATAATAATGATAATAAGGGGTATTGTTTTATAATTGGTTGTTACGGATCAACTTCTCTACATATTTGATGAACCACTGAAATTCGCAGACCAACCGCGAATGCTTCAATATACACAATCAGCAATGTAGGGAGCTTCACAAATAAATGAATAAAACTCAAACACATTTCTGAATGTCTTCATTCAGATTGCATTAAACCTTTGTGTGTGTAATTATTATTACGATTCCAAAGGTGTTTATTGCTCCCCTGTAGCCCCAAGAAGAAAGCGCAGCTTAGCAGAGTGGGCCTTGACAGGGCTTGGAGGCGGGCTTAGGTGGAGCAGGGGTTGGTGATTGACAGATCAGGATTCTGAGTAGGCTGATATAAATGTCGGCCATTTTATAACACCTCATTACTAATTGACTTACCAGGCTGAATTGGTGCTTTTGTATCTGGGCCTGGTAAGTTTGTTTTTTCTTTTGCAGACCGGGTCGGGTGTGGCCGCGGTCGGCCTAGCGGGTACCGGTGCAGGTGATGGTGCGCAGGATTTACCAGCATCCGCTGGCGCTCGGCGGCGGAGCTCTGGTGCAGTGGCAGGCTCATCACTGCCAGACAGCGTGACCCTGGAAACTGGAGGAGCTGCGCTCGGATCGCAGGCCCCTGCGGTCGGTGAGGTTGGCCTAGGAGGAGTGAGGGAAGCGCGGGACCTTGGTGCGCAGGTGCCCCCTGGAGGCCATGATCGGGAACAGACTGGAGCAGGCTCAAGCTGGGACCAGGCCCTGGGAGGGCCCAACCTCATGCAGGCATGTGGTGGTTCTTGCGCAGGGGCAGCAGGCCCCAGGGACGAAGGGGGTGCTGCTGGGGGGCATAGCAGGTAGCCGCATACCTGAGAACCAGCCGGGCCCACACAGAGGAAGTCATCCAAGTAGTGAACCACCGACCGATGCCCGGATTCCTCCCTAACCACCGATTCCAGGAAGGTGCTGAACTCAAAGTATGAGCACGATATTGAGCAGCCCATCGGGAGGCAAAGGTCCACGAAGTAGTGGCCCTCGAAAAAACACCCCAGCAAGTGGTGGCATACTGGATGCACAGGTAGCAACCGGAACGCCGCCTCGATGTCCACCTTTTCCATCAGCGCCCCCTGCCCAGCCTTCTTAACCAGCTCGACGGCGTGGTCGAATGATGCGTACAATATCATCATTCACCGACGCCCCTTTCGGGTGCGACAGGTGATGTATGAGCCGAAACTTCCCTGTTTCCTTCTTGGGGACCACCCCTAACAGGGACAACCTCAAACCCAGTATTCGGAGGTCCCGGAACGGCTCTGCCATGCGCCCCAACTGAACCCTTTTAGAAAGTTTCTCCTGGACCACCCCTGGGAATTCCCCTGCTGACTTCAAGTTACAAAAACTCGAAGCAAACTCCCTGTCCCGGAACGGGATAACGAACCCCTCTGTGAACCCTCCCCCCTCGCAATAGTTCCGCGTCTCCTGTATTACCGTAACGGCTTAGCCACAGTAACATCGCGTCTATTCTCACTGGTGTTTTGCCCCGAGGCAGCAGGCGCCCCCCCGGGCCCCACGGTTCCTCCAGCCCCACCGCCTTTCCTTTTTTGGAAACATCGGTGTAGGCCATGCGCCCCCCCACACGTGGAAAACTGAGGCGGCCACTTGCTGAAAGGGAGATGCCCTTTGTGCCATCAAAAGCTTCATCCAGAGAGGGAGATCCATCTGGTCCCACCTCATACCTGGGGCTGCGTGGGGCGGTGGCGGACATCTGCCAGGCTCGCAAGGTTACGCTGAAGCAGCTACAGTCGCTGATAGGTAAGCTCAACTTTGCTTGTAGGGTCATCCCACTGGGGCGAATTTTCAGTCGCAGCCTCTCTCAGGCGACTGCGGGGGTGCGGTCGGCGCACCACATCATAAGGGTATCCAAGCCGATGCGGGCTGACCTTGAGGTGTGGGGCACCTTCTTGGAGCACTTTAATGGGACGGTTGTAGCGGATGGCCATGAGCTGCCTTGGGACTTGTATTATGTGTAACCTGTATTCGTTTAATTGCTAAATGTCTATGCAGTAAGGGAATGCATTCGTGTAAAATAGCTAAGTTCTATGTGTAAAATGTATTGGATTTGTCTGAATGTTAGGTAGTTTCATTCCCTTAGTTTGTTCGAATGAAACTACTGAACAGTCAGACCTCCCCTGTGTGAAGTGTGCCTTCAATTACCAGTTGCAACATTGTTTCGAACGGGTAATTGACAAGCTGTGTAGCAATCCTTTGTTCTCAGGGGTGGCCGCCATTCGAGAAACGAACACGTGGTGGCGGCCATCTTAACCTCCCGAACAGCGGTGTTTTGCCGTCGAGTGTCTGGAACTCAAAACGGACACTCGATTAGGCGAACACAGCTGAGAACTCCATCAGCCCGGTCCGTTCGGTTCCAAACTACCGAACGGCCCCTCGTTCGGTAGGCATAATCAACCGAACGAGGGGATTCAGGTGAACCCTCCCAAGCCTCTATAGCTGGAGGCTTTCAGGTTCTTCATTCGCCTTTTCCAGGACCGACCGCAGGACCCCATCGCATGGAGCCCAATTCGGCTAGTTCATCCAGCACGGTCGGTCATTTTATTCCCTCCAGGAAATTCCCGAACACCTGGTCCGATCTGGGTGATTTTTGGATATGTTGTTCACGCAGATCAGGGCTACCAGGGGATGTATAATTTAAAGGGGTACCCCTAGGTTTAGGGGTACATCCAGAAACGGAGGGAATTGCTGTACTGGATAAGGGGATTATGATGCCGGCTGAGGGGAGGAGATGTGTGGGAGGTTACCGGGACAGGATTGGCTACTGTATTAATGAATGGAAATCCCTCCCTTGCATGGGAGCATGCTATATAAGGCACTGTGGAATAAAGGTTGTCAGTTCTGCTCCTGATGCTGTGTGTCGTCCAGTTATTGGGATTGCTGTGGGGATACTGTTGGATTATTTTGCCTACTGGAAACCTTGCCTGTGGATTTACAATTTACTTGTTCCTGAGCCTCACTTGGATTATACGCGGAGATAGCCTGGGGAATATTGTATCTCCGCTACAACGGTGTTCTTTCGCAAACCGGCGGTGGCGGCAGCTGACTTGGAACTGTACACAGACGCCTCGGGCAGCGTAGGCTTCGGGGCTTATTTCAAGGGGAGGTGGTGTGCAGAGGCTTGGCCAGTAACATGGGTAGGTAGCCCACTGATGCGGAACTTGGCCTTTCTCGAGATTTTCCCTCTGTTAGTGGCACTATCACTCTGGGGAGATCTCCTCCGGGATCGGAAGGTGGTGTTTTACACGGACAACATGTCCGTAGTGTACGCGGTTAATAACCTCTCGGCCATTTCGGGCCCGGTGGTACGCCTCTTGCGCCGCTTCGTGTTACTGTGTATGTCGCTCAACTTAGTATTCTGTGCACGACATGTCCCAGGGTATTTGAATGTCGTGGCTGATGCACTGTCTCGTTTGCAGTGGTCCCAATTCCGGAAGGAAGCACCGGAGGCGATGGAGGAAGGTCAGGAATGCCCTGGGGAGATGTGGCAGCTAGGGACGTTATGCTTGGAAGACTTGTGAGGTCATCAGTGGCCCCCAGTACATGGACGGCTTATAGTAAGGTCTGAGATGCCTGGGAGCAGTCTCTGGGAGGATTGGGCCTGGCGATGGTCCGAGGTTCCTGGCTGGATGCACTGCTATGGTATGTTTTCTGGCTATTGGCTATTGGCAAAAGGCCTGTCCCCGGACAGATGTCAGCGATCGCGTTCTGTTTAAGCTTCGGGGGTGGGAGGACCACACAAAGCACTTTGTCATCCGTCAAGTCCTGAAGGGTCTTCAGAGGGGGCGCAAGGTCCCTGACTCAAGGAGGCCAGTCTCGCTCGACATACTCGGGGGATTGGTGCACAGCCTGCCGGGGCTTTGCTTCAACGGGTATGAGGCGGGCTTGTTTGAAGTGGAGTTCCTCTTGGCCTTCTTCGGGGCGTTTCGTATCGGGGAACTAGTTAGCCCAAATCGGGCCGGGGGCGGGGGCATCCAGCTCTCGGAGGTTAGGTGGGCAGCGGACCAGGTGGTGGTCCGGTCAAAAACGGATGCTAGAGGTTGGGGGACAGATGTGGTACTGCATAACTTTCCTGGGTCACCCTTATGCCCGGTGGCTAGTGTAGCTCGATACCTGGGATGACGCCCACTGGGGCCGGGGTCCTTTCTGATGCACGAGGACGGTACCTCGCTTTCCCGTTTTCAGTTTCTCAAGGTCGAGGCCTTCAGGATTTGGGGAGGCAGCCGAATCAGTTCGGGAGGCACTCATTTCGCATAGGGGCAGCCACTGAGGCAACTCGGCTAGGCTTGGGCGATTAAATGGTCAAGAAAATTGGGCGGTGGGAATCGTTTTTTTCTGGTCCTATGTTCGGTTGGATAAGATGGTGAACAGTTGCTGTGGGGGTTTGTCTTGTGGGATACCTGGCTGACATATTTATTTTCTTCCCTAGGTCAAGGGGTGTGGATTGTGGGCCATTCTTTTATATTCTGGGCCAAGAGGAGAGCTGCAGTTCGTTTTCGGGGTCAGCAGCTGGGCTTCCCTGAGGAACGGATTAAGTTACAATGGTTTGGTTGCAGGGGTTATGGTTGGCAGGAAGTGTGTAGCGAGGTTCTTAGTATGGTTATGAGGGGTAGGTGGCCGGATGTGCTTGTGCTGCATGCAGGTGGAAATGATCTGGGGCTTATCCCGCAATGGCTATTTTATTAAAAAGGATAAAGCAGGATGTGAACAGGATCAGGGCCTGGGTCCCGGGTGTTCAGTTAGTCTGGTCAGTTGGTATGGTCCGAGATAGTTCCCCTGCTGGCGGCATACATGGGTTTCGGCACATATAGGGTGCTGCCGAGGGAAGGTTAATGGGTTGATGGCCAGTTTTGTGAGGAAGCTGGGCGGGGTGGTAGTTCGGCACAGGGAACTAGAGGACATGTTACCGGGGTACTTCAGAGATGATGGGGTGCACCTCTCGGAGGTGGGGATCAATTGATTTAATTTGGGGCTGCAGGAGGGTCTAGCCAAGGCTCTATTTCTTCTGGGTGGCAGAGCTCAGATGGCTTAAGGGGTCAAGGTCTGAGCTTGTGGCGTGCTAGTGGAAGGAAAGTTAAGGGGGTAACGGGCCTGCTTAAGGAAGCGTAGAGCAAGAGTAGTGAGTTGGCTGTTTCAATATGGACTGGTTACCTGTTGGTAAGATGTTGGTGGTTTCGAGCTCGGTGGTAGCTCAGAACCCAGGTGGTGTAGGGGTATCAAGGTATACCCCTGCCAGGATCGTGTGGAAAATGTTGGATCTTGTTTTGTTATAGTTATGGATTGTTATACAATGTTATGTTATGTTATATATGATGAGTCATTGCCTTGCGAATTGATATGTGGAAAATGATAATGATGGATGGCTGAGGATGTGGGGGTGAGCAATGACTTTTATGTTATTTATATATTATCGTTGTTATTATTATTATTATTTATTATGAATAAAAGCTGTGGACATATTGACCCATACCCTAAAGTTTCAGTGTTTCATTGGTGTGGGTTGGGAAAAAGGTAATGGTCAGCTCCTCCAGCCCATATGGCGACAATGCACCTGAAAATTGCGTTGTTTTGCCACTTCTTTGCTTTCCAGCATCAGGTTTGACGCTGGATGCTGCTCCTCAGCATTTTTTTTATTGATGCAGCCAAGGCTTGTAGCAATTTTAACGCAAGTGTTCCTGCATCAAATGTGTGACGTACTTGTACATTCTGTTATTGCACGTGCTAGCCAATAGGAATGCTTGTATACCTGTTTAAAGCCACTCCATTACCTATTCTTTGCTCTGTGGTAGTTTCCA